AAACTAGATCAGTAAACATACAAACATGAGTCAATTATCATTTAACGAAACACTTCTGCGATTCGGAGATATAAATTACTTTTCATAACAAAAATGGAGGATAAGGCAGTGTCATAATATTTTATGGTGAAACAGCCACCAAGGTGGCTGTTTCATATTCAAAATTCAAAATTCACATATAATATGCGTATGTGAACTGCAAATAACTCAATATAAAAATATTTTCTCAATTTGTATTAGATTCCATAAACATCTGAAAATAAATCCGAAACTTATAAATATAGATTTTCTTCCAATTAAAAACATTTCGTTTATTTGAAATATAAATATTTTTATAGTTCAAATGTGTTTTCCGCTTCTATTAAAAATAATTCCAGTTATATTAATCATAACAGCCAAGGATTTGACTCACAACTTTCTATTTTTAAAAATTTCTTTCCAACTTTATAAGAACGAGAACTGTAGATATTAGTAAGTAAACTCACAGAATGTTCTGACAGGGTTAATGATACACCAAATGTGATTTCTTAATAAACAAAAAATATATTACGAAATGAACTGAACGAGTGTTGTTTTTAAGGAAAATAATTAGCATACTTACTGACGTAATGTCAGAAATAATTAAATATTAATGCTATAACAAACAACTCAGGTGTGTGTTTGTGTGGTTGGTAGGGGATATTGACTGTGAAACCTGGCTTCGTTCGTCTTACCATTAAAATCTTCTTATTTCTCTAGCGCTACAACCCTCTGTGAGTTTTGACCTGTTTAATAATTACATTCTATTACCTTCTGTCATTGGCTTCTCTTAGAGTGCCGTCTCCCTACGGAGGTTGGCAATCATAATGGCTATTTTTATTTTAGAACTTGCTGCTCTAAACAAATCAATCGATCTGCATTGATACCAATCACGTAGATTCTTTAACCATGAGTTCTGAATCTTTCTCTGTATTATGAGTCTCAAAATTTCATATTTTGGTACCCTCATTACGTGGCCTAGGTATTCCAGTTTTCTGGTTTGTATAGTGGTGATTAGTTCTGTTTCTTTACCAACCCTCTCCAGTACTTCTTTATTTGTAATTCTATCAGTCCATGATATAGTCTCAGCTCCATATAATAATATTGAAAATATATAACAGCGAATGGTACGTAGTCTGATCTCCAAATTTAGATTTTTGCACGTTAGGAGTGGCTTCATTCGTATAAATGCTGATCTGGCAATCTCTATTCGCCTGTTTATTTTTACAGTATGATCATTGGTTTCAATGATCAAAGTTCCCAAATACTGATATTTTTCTACTTGTTCTATTACGTTACCATTGATTGTCAATAGGTGATGTATATTTTGTGGTCTTTTTGTAATTAGCATGTACTTATTTTTTTAGCGGTTATAGTAATTCCCATCTCAGCACTATTCATAATCAAGCTTTCGATAATATGTTGTAGATCCTTTATACTCGTTGCTATAATCACCGTGTCGTCTGCATATCTTAAGTTGTTAATTAATTTTCCGTTAACGGTGACTCCCGCTTCGATATTATTGAGCGTGTTTTGGAAAATTTCTTCAGAATATAATTAAAAAAAAAGTGGTGATAAAACACATCCCTGTCTAACTCTCTACAGATCCTCATTTCTTCTGAGTGTTGAATCGCTGAATTAATATGTTGATGGCAAACAGTCCTTCTCGAGTACCCCTGTACCAACTGCGTTCCTCGCTAATATCCTCCTCTAGCCTTTCGTATATTCTCTTATGTAATTATTTTTAGCAGAACTTTTAAAGTATGACTCATGAGGCTCAGTGTTCGATAATCAGAGCACTCTTTTGCTGCTTGTTTTTTAGGGATGGTTATAAATGCTGACTTCAGCCAGTCTTATGGTATTATTCCCGTATCGTACACCGTGTTGAATGAATCTGCCAATACTTCCAAGTTATCCTCTTCCACTAGTTTTAACAGTTCTACTGTTATGTCATCTAATCCAGCTGCCTTATTGTCTTTAGAGTTTTTGATAGCATATTTGATTTCATCTATCGTGATCTTCTGTCTCTCTAAAGGATTTAATTCTTGTATTTTCTGCATTTCACCTCTTTCATCTTGGAAAAGTTCTCTAACGTACTCCTCCCATCGCCTTAACTTCTCTGGTAAATCTATTAGTAGTACTCATTTTTTGTCTTTTATGTGCCCTTGCTGTCTATTTCGACCCATTCCAGTCACTTCTCTAATTTTTTTGTGAATATTTCTCATATCATATTTTGTTTCTAGTTCTTCTATCTCTTTACATTGCTTCACCAAATAGATTTCCTTAGCTGTTTTGATTTTTTCCTTAATTATTCGTTGTATTTCTTTATAATTCTGTAGATCCTTTCCTTTATATTTCCTTCTGTCTTCCATCAGTAATAGTATTTCTTCTGTCATCCAGTGTTTTTTAGCCTCTGACCTATGTTGTATTAAACTTTCTTGAGCTGGTTTCAGTAATGTGTTTTTTATATTATACCACTTTTTATTTACATCCATAATTTGTTTGTTGTATGTCAGTGTTTTTTGCATATTAACAATAACATTACTTTTTAATTCGTTTTTTATTTCTTCGTTTTGTAGCATTGTAGAAAGACAAAGAAAAAGAAACAAGAAAAAAACTGGAACGAACATGTAAACCGAATGGAACCAGATAGATTAGCGAACATCTCTAAAAACAACAAACCTTATAGCAGAAGACCTGTTGGAAGGCCGCCAAAAAGGTGGAAAGATAATGAACAGTCAACAACGACTGTAACAGAATAAGAGGCAGACAAACAGGAGTAATCCTAGTCACACGAAGAAGAAGTGTGTTCCGTTTTTTTTGCTTTGTTTTTTGAACATATTTTTGTCAAAAAAAAATCATTTTGAACTTTAAAAGGTAAAAAAAAATCAGTTTGAACAACTTTTCTGTAGATGTATATGTACAAAAGTGCATTGAATTTACCCAAGTGCTCCTAATATATAGGAACAAATTCACACCTTTCTCAAAAATTCACCTCTTTAAAAGGTAGCACTTCGCGGTTTTTTTATGCTTTGGGGGTCCATTGACAATATGAAACAATAAAACCTCTTTAACATTGTAGTTCCTTTCTAAAGTACATAATGAATAACTTTAACGCCGAACCATTTTTTTTTGTTTGGAAAAGATGATTGCTGAGAAAGAATCCCAAAACTTTTGTGTCTACTGTTGAGACTATTCTTAAGTTTCGGAAGAATATATATAGATATAGGTTTCATCAGCGATTATGGAAAATCAAGGTCGGTTTTAACTTTTTTTAGCCTTTCAAAGACCTTTTTAGGCAATTAAAATTAGTTTTTCGATTATTTAAAAATCAGACGAGACGGTCACTTTGGAGTACTACCAAAAGCAGACTAATTAACTGATAGTTCTGTACGGTCTTATACACGATCAAAAGATGACTGGGATAATGCATAATAATAAAAACTCATACCATACTAAAAGAATAGTACGATAATATTTAAGATATTATTATCGTCTATAATGCTAAAAAGATGGTATATTTTTAACATTTTTTGCATCTTATACTCATAAATTTTTTTCTTGTTTTTCCATTGTTTCTATATTTTAAAGATGTCGCAAAAATAATGGCGGACATTTGAAAACATTGTTCAAAAATTGACCTTTTTTTCGTCCTTTTTCAGTCACAAAAATTTAATTATTATTTATTTTGGTCAAATTGTGGTAGACTATCAGAGAGAAAACCAAAACAAATAAAATGCATCAAGGTTTATTAAAATAAACCGACTAGACCGACTTTTGAGAAAAACTACGTTCTTAAAATTTGCAACACTGTAATCTCCGGATCTAGTCGGTTGATTTTAACAAACCTAGATGCATTTTGTTTGTTTTGGTTTTTTCTGACAGTTTTGCACAATTTGACCAAAAAAAAATAAATGTTTTGTGACTGAAAAAAGGTCAATTTTTGATCAATTTTTTCAAATGTCCGCCATTTTGTTTTTTTTAATCATTTGAATTTTTCTGGTAAAGGGCACTTCTTTTTTAAAACTCTCCTCGAATTTTATATTTCAGATTTTTTGTTCCATAGATTAACTGTCCGCCATGAAGCAGTAATTTCCTGACGATTTTTTTTGCCGCCATCTTTAAAATACAGGAACAATAAAAAAGGAAAAAAGTTGTAGAATAATATAAAAAAAAGTTTGATTGCCATATATAATAGATGATACAAAAAATTGTTGAAAATATGCCATTTTTTAGCATTCTACGGTAATAGTACCTTAAAAGTAGATTGGGCATATAAAGATGTGGTAGAGGTATCACCAAAAATAGCACATTTAAAACAAATGATTCCTGAGACGTAGAATGACGAGGAAAATAAATGTAACATAAAAATAACTTTACAAATTACACCTTAATCACAATTTTATAGCATAGGCACAAGAAATTGTTGCTGATTTTGCTAGAAGTTGAAATGAGGGCAACTATTGGCAAGCATGCAGTTAATTTTTATAAAACTTTCTCCCCTTGTGACATTTCTTGTTAAAAATGTAATATCTTAAAAGATTGTAGACAACTATGAGTGATACAAAATATTCAATATTAATATGACACTAAATATTTATTTTACAAAAGTTATACATATATTACAACCAACCTGCCCTTGTTCTAAATTCCTTAGTTTGAAATCATCCTGAGCATGTATTTATATATACTTTAAGTTTGTTTATACAAAATCTTAATTTTTTTTGTTAGAACTTACAAAATCTTTCGATTTTAAATCAGATTAAATTTACAGATTCTCTTTGACTCTGTCTAGAACCTTCTGACTTACCTGTTAGATATGCTGCAAATACTGAAATACCTTTTTGGATAAATATACGAGTCATTTAACGAATGATGAAATATCAAAGAGATAATATACCCTTTACAACATATTTTTTTATTGTCACTCTAAATTTGTATAAACAAACCAGTTAGAATAAATAAAAAATATGGTGCCTTACCTGTGATATTATCGCAAAGGATGCGCGATGTTATAATTCGACCAAAAGGACTGAATAGAGATTCCAAATCTTGCTGAGTCATGTTTTTTGGTAGTCCTGATACGTATAAATTTGCTCCCTTAATTGCTTCTGAGCTTGGCCGGGCATAAGAGACCTAGAAGTATATACATACATTAGTTACCACAGGGCTTCAACAAAACCTGAGGCAGTGTATACCTCTGTCGGATAAGAGATAAAGATTTTTATCCACAATATATTTCTTTATGATATAAATATTAAATTGGGTAATGTCTCATGTAATTAAATCTCTTAGAATCTAAGTTAAATCTTATAACTACAAAAAACAGTGAAAACATTTTGAATGTAAGGTATCCTGATGTACTTTGTAGCAAAGAAAGACACAATCACATTAAGAGTCGAAATATTCATGGCACAGGTTGCTAATTTTTTAAAATATACCTAATACCCGGATTATAATTTATTTTTTCTATTACATTAACATTAAGTTGATGCGGATGACCTTCTGTTGTTAAATGCATTCTTAATTTTTTATTTAAAACCTAAACACTAGAGTTCGATTTCAAGTTCAGATAATTATGTAGTATAAGTCATAGCAAAACGTGAGCATGTTACCATTAGTGGACAAAAACAATATAAATTTAATATCAACAACATTTTCTAGTCAATATCAATTTAAAGCTTTTAAATAAATGATTACTTATGAACCGATTCATGGAACAACTGGATTTACTATTAAATTAATAAAGAAAAATTCAACACAATACTAGAAATCACAATATATAACATTTAAGACAAAAATGGTCACTGACCATAATAAAAATATTATAAACTACAAGCCCATTGGAAATTTTTAGGGGGTCATTTGCTCCAACATGACTCACATATAAATCTACAATATGTAATAACAATAAATATGCCGCTAATTCTTATTGGTACCCAAAGCTTGGGGGTTCAAATTACGGGTTGCGCCTTAGATTTCTCACTCCCGTTGCAGCCGAAATGTACGACGTTGCAAAAAATTACTCTATATACCGATCCGAATATTTCTGTTGAAATTGTCGAAAATGGGGAAAAAGTTTTTCAAAAATAAAAATTTTTCCCGGTAACAATTATTTTGGTATTATCTACCTAAGCGATAAATGAACAAGATCGGCTACAAGGAAGTGTGTAGATGACAAATTTCTGGAATGGTGAAGGAATTCACCAGGACAAGGATAGGAAAACAGTCAACCCCAGGGGTAAGCTCAATAGGCACTTGAAGCTGATATTATTATTAGATGATGACCTGTGCAGATTCTGTCACCTCAAAAAAGAAAGGGCAAAGCACATTTTATGTCAATGTGACAGTCTGACAAATGTGCGATTCTTTGTATACAGAGAAGAAAATCCACCGGCAAATAGCTACATGGAAGGTACAGTCTCGAAGCTACTAGACTTTTCAAAGGGTCAGGCTAGAGAATGTTATCTAGGAATAGAGGACCACAATAGATCTGAAAAGTTCGCAGTGGAATAGGCCAAAAGGCCACCTCTCCAAATTTAATCGAAAGTGATAAATGCCGTACAAATACGTTTGATCAAAGTGTCTTGGCTTTGAGTGGTAAGTTTATCTTACCTGTGACTCAACTTCACCTATAATACTTGATGGAATAGTTTCTAAAGTTGTTATTACATATTGTAGTATTGTTTTATATGATGTGTTTCATGCTTGGTCAAATGAACCATTAAAAATCTCCAAAAAAATCATTAAAAATTTGATAATTATCAGTAAAACAAACACAATGTAATAAAAGCTAATACACATACAATCTGAGAAAAAAACAATTTAAGAATCATTGAGATACAACTATTGACGCAAACAGAAGGAGAAATAATAAAAAGGGAAATGTAAAGCAAGCAATGGAATCAAAAAAAGCATTTATCAAAGTAAAAACTATTTTAAGAACAATTAAGATCTTAAAAACACCAACTAAAAAAAATAAGAAAATAATGAATAACAGAGATGAAATCTGACAAAGAATTCAAACAAGAGAGTTTCAAGAAAAACAAAGTTAAAAAATATCCAAACGTGATGAAGAAGATCCATAAAATGGAAAATGTACACAATAATTGTTATTCTTAACATGATGCCAAAAGTAGATTCGAATAATACATTTAATAAACCCAGAAGGATCAAAGGCTAAGTACTAAATATTACTGTGAAAAAATAGTCTGTTTTAGATTAACTGTTGTATAAGAACCTTACCTTTATCGTCTTATTTTGTAATCGAAGCCCATTAAGTGTGTTGATGGCCTTCTCTGCATCTTCTGGCCGGTGGTAATTCACAAATCCATAGCCCAAGGATTGCCCTGTAAGCAATGGACTAGTCATAACCCCGGGAACTGCAGAAATAAAAAGTTCCAAAAAAAAAACAAATGTTAATAACGAAAACGAAAAAGAAACTAATGTTAGGGCGTTAATACTAAAATGAAATTAGTAGAAAATTTGCAAAGCCCAAAAAAATTGTTAACTCAATCATGTCCAGTGAAATTGTCCCTATTAAAAAGTTTTTTTCAATTTATATTCTTAATAAATAATGTAAATAAAGGTCAGTGAAATATGAAGGCACCAGAGTACCACATACGATAGCTACAGCAGATAATATTTCAAAAAATTGCCAAAAATTAGCTAAAACATAATTGTTCAATATTTTAAATGAGTTATACACCAAACCTATGAGGTGTTCCGCAAATTAACAAATTTCAAACTTATAACCAACTATAGAACCATGAAAGATCGACGCCGATCAAATATCAGTATAAGTTAATAAAACTATTACGTAGCACAGTAAAATCATACTTCCAACTCATTGACTTTAAGCAAGCTTTTAACAGAGTGAAAAGAAAAATATAACGCACTAAAATAAATGCTTATTAGTCAAAAGTTAATAAATATGACACAACTGATCCTCCGAAAAATCATGAACAAAGTCAATATAAATGGAAAAAAAACTGCAAAGTCAATGAATGGATGCGACAAGAAGCCACACTGCTATCGTTGTTGTTAAATATTATTCTCAAGAGATTATAAGAGCAGCAGAAATTAGAAATCATGATTCAAACATCAACAGAAAGTGTCCAGCTCATAAATGAAGCATATACTAAACATATGGAGTCGATAGACCAAGACTACATAAAAGATAATACCTGACAATAAAACCAATGGAAAAAAACACATACAAGTTTGAAGAGGAAGTTTCCATCCGAAGCTTGAGTTAGTGACTCATGACACTCTGTTACCAATCCTGATGTGACACATGGTCTATTCAAGGTTAGTAGCGCTTGTATGCTATCTGTGCAGATTATTATAGTTTTCCCGGCTATACCTTTTTGGTTGATCTCTTTTGCGGCTATGGAGATACCGGCCAATTCTATCTGAATTACGCTGGTATGTTTGCCCGTACCCTACTTTATTCTTAGCTTCAGTGATCTGGAGATCCCTCATCCTATGCCTTCTTCCATTTTGAAGCCATCGGTCTATATACAATACGCATTTACTACGTTTGACTCCCCATACTGCCTTGTTTCGATTTTGTAGAGTCTGTCAAAAACAAACTTTGGTTTAACTGAGTCGCAGCCTGCCTGTAGCAGGGGCAGCGCATCTATCTCTCCCCGCCAGAAACGAGTTCTCAATTGTCCCATTCCTACATCAAGGCTTGCACCAGATGAGTGCAGTCGCATTATTGTCACCTTCTCTCTCGCGCATATCTTTTCTATCGTTTTCAAGAGAAACGATGTTAAGCTAATTGGTCGGAAAGCCTTTGATAGGATGTAGGTCCTGCAGTTACTACCTGGTTTTGGACAATCGCCTTATTAACTATCACCCAGAAAACAGATTCGGTTGTTCGATTGTGTCCATATAATTGATGCGCAGTATCCTGTAGCACCACATCTCGAAAGCTTTCAGTTTTTTAAATATGTTATCTTTTATGGTCCATGATTTTGTATGGTAATATAGAAAACATCAGTATCCTGTCTTCAGATCCAGAAAAACAAAGCTATTCTTGCTTGTACAATACGACAACGAATTATTAAAAAAAAGTCCCAATCGCTATTAATTTGGAGCCTAGATGCGCTGTCTATATGCACAGTGCCTATTCAAAAGTTTTTCCTAATACAGGTTAATAAAATATATGCGTTAATAAAATACATCCCTTTCTGATTCCTCTTCTTCTAGCATTCACCAGAATGCCAATCATTGCATCTTTTGTCTTAACTAGAAGAATATAAAATCATAAACTGTAAAAATGAAGCAAGAAATAGAAACGAGTGGAAAATGGTAATCCAACCAATTACGTAACAATAAAACACTAAAAACTTTGTTTTCAAACTTCCACAAAATTTATTTTAACTTATCACTATAGCTGTTTCGGCTGATTGCCTTTCTCAAGTCCAATTGCCCAACCAATTACCATTACCAATACTTAGGCAATCTCAAAAACCCCATACATACTGGGTCTTACTTCGTCAATAACAAAGATACTGGGGGTTTTATCTATTTTGCCAACTTATTTGGTTCATAACTTTTTAACTACACTGTATATTTTCTTTATGTTTGGCACGCGAATATTGTTTAAGGTGTCTATACATCTTGAGAAGACCATTATTTACTCTAAATTTTTGTGTTTTTTATAATGTTCGGCAAATAATTCATAACAAATATTCATCTTCAATTTATGAATAAATAATAAAGAGTCCACAAAAAAACTTTTTTAATGAAGGTTCTACAAAATTAAAAAAAAAAAACAGTGAAAATTTGCAGAAAAAATTACTATAAAAACTAAACTAAAGTACTTATTCGAAATAACCACCACAAACAACTTGGTATTTTTGAAATATCTCTGAATAAGCTACAATACAAGAAGTACTTGAAAACCTTAATATTATCAAATTTTATTAACTTAGTGTGCGGTGACAATGACAGGATCTCTTTGTGGAATAGATACGGTGATTGTCACTTGTTTTAAATAATTTACTACTGTCAAAAATACTAAATGTTCTTTCATTCTTATTGTATTAAGTAAGTTTTTTGTGTTTTAATACATTATTTCTGTATTAAGAACTAATATGCGTTATTATTTCAGCAACAAAGTATACGCGGATATGGTATATGGTTTTAGGGACGGTAATGGCAAAGTTGCTAAAAGAAAGTATGAAACGCGATTTTCTCAACGAAGAAAACCAAATTATCGAACTTTTGGAAAGGTATATGATTGTTCCAGAAGGCACCGTTAATATACAACCATAAGATTATACGAACATAATGAAAGACAAAACTTTAATATGTAAAATACCATTATAAATTTTATTGAGAATAATCAAAAAGTGAGCACCTGACGAATTAGTCATGATCTACAAATTCCTCATACCACTGTCTGGCAGACTTAAAAAGAATAATCTAAATCCTTACCATATACAGGAAAGACAAAGCTGAAGATGAAATACCAAGAATTGATTTTAGGAGGTAAAGTGGATCACCCCAATACTCCAAGGTATACAATTTCAGGAACTCATACGTTTGGGCAGAACAAAATCTATTTGCCACAAGGCAAAGTCACTCGCTGAAACTATTTTACCAGTACTGCTAGATGATGAAAGAATTAATACAGGTGGAACTTACTTTCAACATAATGGTGCTTCTCAACATTACTGGCGCACAGTTAGAGATTTTTTATCCGACAATTTTCCCAATAGATGAATTGGTAAAGGCGGTCCTCAAGTCTAGCATTCACGATCATGTGATTTTAATCCTATCGATTATTATGTTTGGGGATATTCAAAAACCAAAATTTATAACGATGATCTACATAGTAGCGAAAAATTTCCTGTAACAGATGTCAAGACGGCTTTCAAAAAATTAAAAATATTCCTGACGAGATTAGGAAGTCAGTCAGACATATTACAAAAAAAGCAAGACTTTGCCTTCAACAAAGTGGTGGTCATTTTGAACAATTACTTTCTTCTTTGTCAACCATTTTCCATCCACCCCTGAATGTAGGTCTCTCCCAATTGCTTCCATCTTTCTCTATCTTGCGCCAAACTAATCCACTGTTTGCCTGCCACTGCTCTTATGTCATCTACCAATTTTTTTTTGAGGTCTTCCCATGCTTCTTGTTGTCGTCCTTGGTCTCCATTCTAGTATTTGTAATTTCTTCCACAATATCCCTAATCTTTGTTCTACGTCTTATCTCGGCGTTTCTACTCTTGTATCTTAGTGATATTCCAAGCATGATTCGTTCCACTGCTCTTTGCGTTGTTTCTAATTTTTTAGCAGATTAGTAAGGGCTACTGTCTACAAGCCGTAGGTACAAAGTGGTAGTATGCATGTGTTATACACATTTTTCTTTAAGTTTATAGGAATGGAGGTATTTTTCAAGATATGTGCTAATTTGCCGAAAGCGCCCAATGCCAGTTGTGTTCTTCTTTTAATTTCAGCATCTTGATTTGGTTTTCCTAGTTTGATAACATGACCTAGATATACATAATGTTCAACATTTTTTATGGTATGAAGTTGTATTGTTATATTTGTCTGGTCTTGGCTCAGTATTTTTGTTTTGCTGTAGTTCATTTTTAAGCCTACCGCTCCTGAAACTGCATTTAATAATTGTTGTAACATATCATTTAGTTCTTGGATATTATCGGCTATTAAAACTATGTCATCTGCGAATATCAAGTGGTAAGTATGATGCGTCGACGTTGATACCCTTATTGTTCCATTCCAGTTTCTTAAAAATATCTTCTAAAGCAAAGGGTAAATAGTTTGGGAGAGATGGTGTCTCCTTGTCTTACTCCCCGTTGTAGTCTTATGGAATTAGTTTTTGTGCTTTCGTCCAGATTTATATGCATGGTGGCATTTTCATATACGTTTTTAATTATGTTAGTGTATCTTGAATCTATGCGTGCATTTTCTAGAGATTCAAGCACTGCCCATAATTCGATGGAATCGAATGCTTTATGGAAATCGACGAACGCCATATGAATTGGAACATTATACTCGGTGCATTTTTTTATCAGTGTTCTTATGGTGTGCAAGTGGTCTATGGTATTAAAATGTTTTCTGAATCCAGCTTGCTCGATAGGTTGATAGAAATTGAGCTTATGTGTTAGGCGGTTGGTTATGATTTTAGTTAGTAATTTATATAGATGTGATAGCAAGAATATTGGTCGGTAATTCTCGATGTTTGCTTTGTCTCCTTTCTTGAATAGTAAAATGACTTCGGAGTTGTACCATTCTTGAGGAATCTTTCCTTCATCAATTACTTTATTAAATAAAATATTTAATACCTGTTCTATTTTTCTGCTACCAATTTTCAACATTTCAACTGTAATCTTATTACAGTTGA